TTGAGATAGGGACATGTGAGCCGATTTGACCGATAATGAAGTTTTGACACAAAAAAATCCTAAAGCTGAAAAATCCCATATCTCTGTTATCATTTTCGATAGACCCCAAGTGTGATGCATCGATGAAATCAGCTCTCCAGGAAGAATCTAAAAATGCGATAAAATACAGGGTGTTCCATTTGAAATATCAATGTTGCTACTACTTTCTAGTAGAAGCGGCAGCACTGCATTGTCAAAAATATCTTAAATGAAGGGAGCGTATTCCGAAATATTAGCATGCACATTTTCATGAATTTCGATATAAAGATAGTGTAAGCTCGTCGTGACATATCCTGTATAAAGACAATTGTTAAAAGTCTATTATGGTTAGTTAGTGCGTAGATTGTGAAAAAGTTCACCATTCAAACCCCAAATTGCAATTTCGACAGTAAGTAAGGGGTTATATGTTTCTTTTAACTTGAGCATTGGTGTAGTTATCGCAGGTTATTTAACTGAATTATTGCAAGAAACCTTGTTGCTTTCGTTCATATTCCACTGAATCATGGATCAAAATTAGGTGAGTGTCAAAGGTAGGTACTACAGATATTTGATATTAAAATTGAAAGATTAGACTCAAACATTTTCTAATAGGTATAATAGCGTTGTCATTGTAGTAAAATGATCTTGCCCCCCGCTTTACCCCCGCGACTGGTAAAGAAAAGTGTGAACATTGACGTACAGTTTACAGCGTTGCCATTTTTTGAAGCCATCTCTTTCTAACTTATTTGAAACTTTGGAAGTATGTATGATTGTGAACAAATCGAGGGGGTTTCGTAAGTATTTCATCCATTTCGGAAGCATTTCATGTATTTCATTCATTTCGAAATGCATTTCATCCATTTCAACCATTTCGAAATGCATTTCATTCATTTCGAAATGCATTTCATCCATTTTATCCGAGATTTCATCCATTTCCATACGTGATTGGTAGGTATCTGAAGCATTTTATTCTGACATTTCATTACATTTCAAGCGATTTCAAGCTATTCAAATGCATTCCAAGCCATTTCTTGACATTTCCCCACGATAGCATTTCAAATCATTTTGTGATATTTCATTTCATATCATTTCTTGACTTTAAATAAGGTATTTCATGTAATTTTAGAATATTTCGAATCATTTCATTGCATTTTCAAGGCATTTCATGCTATTTCAGAGATGGCTATTCATTTTATTTCATGGCATTTCATTTTATTTCATGTCATTTCAAAATATTTCAAAGCATTTCAAGGCTTTTCATGGCGTTTCAAGGTATTTCATGGCATTTCAAAGAATTTCATGGCATTTCAAGGAATTTCATAGTATTTCAAGGATTTCAAGGCATTTCATGGTACTTAAGAAATGTAATTTCATTTTATTTCATTTAATTTCAAAATATTTCAGAGCATTTCATGGCATTTAATGGTATTTGATATCATTTCAAGACATTTCAGAGCATTTCAAGGGTTATAAGGCATTTCATGGTATTTCAGAAATGGCATTTCCTGACCTGTTTCACGCATTTTCTTTGTGTTAACCCCCTCGGAACAAATATTGTTTCCTGAATTAAATGTTATCTTATCGAAGCTATACTCGAAGCTATAGGTGTTATCATCGCCCATCTGCGACATATTCATTGCATCTGACTGCACATTCCACGGATGCTATGATATTTCAGAAGAAAAACAAATCTTCTGTCAAATATATACAGGGCACTGCACAAAAAAGCGGCCAATGCTATAACTTTTGAATTGAAACTGTAACACCAAATTTTGAATTCTGAAAATTCTATAAATTAATGAAAATCCGTAAATCTCTTTAAGAATCCTTTTGTCTAACACTGCTCGAGCTAAATCTACTACGGCTTGCAGACGAACTCGAGTGACCTTGTAGATGTAGACTGTAGTAGAATAGAATAACTGGCCGAACTAGCGGACAAGACTGAATAGTAAATAGTCATAAAAGGCATGAAGTTGGGATGCAGCAAGGAATGGTTTCCGATTTTAATGGCTATGGCTCACTTTGAACGAAGACATAAAATTAACTCGATTATTCCGTACCAGGAAAGATAAAGATATAACTTCGTGAAATTATATTTTCAGTTACAACTTGAAGTACTAAGAAGTTGGGCAGAATGAAGAATAAATAACACATAATGATGTATAAATTGAATGAGATATGCTAATTCTGGATTCAAAATAGTTATTTATACAATAAGAATATAAAGCGACGCTTTTTCAGTTTATTATAGTGAATTATCTAATCGAAATAAGAAAACAAAGAAAGAAGGAAAAATGATCCTGGTAGGAAGAATTTCTGACTCAATCTTACCAAGATATGGTGAAAAGATTATAACGCCCTGCATAACTTGACGCTCTGTACCTCCTACTTGATATCATATTATATGGACTAGTATTTTGCTCAATATTTCTGGAAGCTCTGGGCAAAAATATCGATATATCGATGAATATATCGATAGGACTAAGAAGAAGAATTGTGTTTAGAAATGGAAGGTGGAATATTCGAGCATCTTTTATAACTTTGTTTTGTTCTGTTTTGCGAAGAATAAACTTCTAGCTCATTACGTCGTTCCTAATTCAAAACCATAGTTTTTTAAGTGGATGAACTTGACGAAAATGTTGACGTTCCCGATCCAAATTCAAATAAACTGTCGAAATTCAGCTTGTTAAACAAAACTGTTGGTGTTCTTTCCAAAGCACTCTTCGCAAAAATGGTGTTTTCCCAATTTTGATCAACAGGAAGGATTCGATTATATCATGTGATACATCATTGTAATCAGAAAGAAAATACTATGCATAAATACAATATCTCTAGGTCTCTCGTCTAGGTCTTTTGGTTTCCGCCTGAAAAAATAGAAACGAAAATTATAAATTTTCGTTTTCATTCAATAATCCAAAAACTAAAAATGACACATCAAAGGACCCCGCACGAAAACACGGGAAATTGGCTCTCCGTCGAATTGGCTGAAATTTGACTATTTTGTTTTGGGGTGACTCATTAAAAAATATGTGAGTTTAAAAAGTTTTGTATGTTTAGTTTCTGAGATATAAGCCGACAAAGTTCGTAAAAACGTTGTATCGGGGTAGGATTGACAAAGAAAATGTATTGATCGGAACTCATAAACATGTCTAATTATAATCACATGAATTATAGTAAATCAGGGTGTATACGAGGCACGGTCAAAAAATTCATTTTTCGGAAAAAAAATTCGAGCACTATTCCACTATTCCAAAACCAACAAGTTATATTTTGGTGGGATTTTATAGTTTTAGTCTATTATAGGCTTCGAAAACGTATTTTGATTCTTGATAACTATCTCTGTTCGAAATATGAATTTTTAGAATTTTGTGTTATACCCGAGGTTATACCCCTTTTTGAAAACAATTGAAAGCTTGTTTTTGATCACAAAGAAAGGGATTGATTGATACTGTTTATTGAATGAAAGCTGGGGAAACTCACTAGCGAATTCAGTTATTCAATATTGCCTTTCATCTAGATACAGGGTGTGTTAGATTTTGTTGAAGATTATTTAACATGTTTCAATTGAATATCTCGAAAACAGTTCCATTAATTTGGATCTCATTTTACACACACTATTTTCAATATGTTGACAATCATATGCAAAAAGTTTTTCAATCTTTCATGTTTCGTTTCTGAGGTATGCATTTTTGGGTTTACAGTATTACAGGTATTATAGTGTTATTACCTAGGATATTACTATCAAAAATTGATATCTCAGAAACGAAACATAAAAAATAGAAAAACTTTTTGCATATGATAGTCAACATATTCAGAATAGTGTGTGTAGAATGAGATCCAAATTAACGGAACTGTTTTCGAGATATTCAATTGAAACATGTTAAATAATCTTCAACAAAATCTAACACACCCTGTATCTAAACGAAAGGCAATATTGAACAACTGAATTCGCTCGTGAGTTCTCAGCTTTCATTCAATCAACAGTATCAACCAATCCCTTTCTTTGTGATCAAAAACAATCTTTCAATTGTTTTCAAAAAGGGGTATAACACAAAATTCAAAGAATTCATATTTCGAAGAGAGATAGTTATCAAGAATCAAAATACGTTTTTGAAGCCCACAATAGACTAAAACTATAATGTCTCACCAAAATATAACTTGTTGGTTTTGGAATAGTGCTCTAATTTTTTTTCGGAAAAATGAATTTTTTGACCGTGCCTCGTATACACCCTGATTTACTATAATTCTTGTGTTCATAACTAGACATATATTTGAGTTCCGATCAATACATTTTCTAGCTTATTTTGTCTTATTTATACTAAAAAAACAGTTTTTTTCTTCGTCAATCCAACCCCGATACGACGTTTTTACGAACTTTGTAGGCTTATATCTCAGAAACTAAACATACAAAACTTTTCAAACTCACATATTTTTCTAATGAGCCATCCAACAATAACATAGTTAAATTTCAGCCAATTCGACCGAGAGCCAATTTACCGTGTTTTCGTGCGGGGTCCTTTTCTTGCAGAAAAATGTTCAGCATGAAAATGCGCAACTTTGTCTTAATTTAACCGACCTCGTATCTCTTATAATAACTAAGATCTCCGTGATGGAGCTCGACAAACGGACATCCTGTATATGGACTAAACTGCGAAATCAGTTTTTCCTCAAGTTATTCGAGCTCGATAGCTATATCGTCCAACTTTTCCCAGCCACTTACATGTCCACCCTGCGCCTTTATACAATTACCCCACATAGAACCCTTTCGGCCGCTGACAAAAGGACCCTTCCTTTCACTTCTGACCTATCCTACCGGTCTTCCACCCCTTTTTTCATGGAAAACGCGCCACCGACCTAGATACACTTCTTGCGCGACTCTGTGTCTCTTCTGTTAATTTCGTTAATAGCTGCCAAAACGATTGCATTGTGGGGTGTGGAGAGGAGAAAAAAACGGTGGTGTTTTTTCTGGGTAGGGCACGTACTCGACACGTGGTTAGTGAAGATGGTCTCGGGCTCTGGGAAGGGTAGTTTATTGTTCGCCATTGTTGGCAGTCACTCTTTTTGTGATTTATCATGTTCAATTTTAAGGTTGTTTGAGAGTTTGACTATAATGAAGGTGTAAACGATTGTTAAAAGGCCAAGCAGTGGAAAGACAGTGGTGCTCTAAATAGTAGTGGAAGAAAAGGAAATCACAAAATTATCCCCACAACATCATAACATGGTCTATGTTACAGAAGGCAATATGTTGTGGTATTCGATTTTTGAATTTTTATTATCCTACCATTCAGAAAAACGAAAAGGATTGTAACAATGGTATGACATTTTTGCCAACAACTTTTAATACTCAAAGAATCTGATAAACGGTTTCATGAGATATTGGTCCAATTCACTTTTAGCTCTCTAATTTTGCATTTTCAGTCCCAAGCACTAGAGGACTCAAGAAACTATTACTTATATTTAGTGATAATTACATAATCATTATACCTTCAACTCACAACTTTATAGTTGGAAAATCAGTGATAGTTATTCAATGAGTGGAAATGGATATGGATGACAATTTAAAAGTATAAAACTCTAGTAAGTCATACTAGGAAGGGGTTACTCTGAACTAAGTACTACTTCTCAAAACTACTCATAAAGTTTCGCAACTTTCAATGATTTCATTAAAAAACCTTCCCAAGAGAGTGCTTTATGGTTACTACTGAGGTTCTTACGACTTTGTCCCTACTTTATAAACTACCTCAAAATTCCTCAATCTTCCTCGAACTTCCCCTAACTTCTTCAGACTTCTTCAGACTTTCCCGATCTTCCTGAATTTCTTCAGAATTTTGGAATTATCTTTTTGAAAATGAACGCTCCTTTTCTAGTTGTAAATAGATTTATTCATGTCTCAACACAATAGTGTTAAAATGAAATAAATATAATGAGACATAAATACATACAACAATGAAACAATGACAAAATATTTGTGGAGATGATTTCGAGCATTCCTTCCTTCCTGTGAAACATTTCACTCCACTCTGAGCAATATGGACTTCTACAAAAGATTAATGACAAAATATAGTTTTAAGTTTAGTTTTGACGTGAAAAAAATACTAGATATCCATCAAATATGTGTAAAAACTTTCTTCAATTAGAATATTTTTGACTCGATTCTTGAATTCCTGTAAACTCATAGATCGACCTCTGAGTTCGTCTGGAAGAACATTGAGAAATTTCATAGCGAGATATTTGAATGAAGATTTGGTTTTTGAAATTCTTGGTTTCGGTAATCTTATATTCATCTTTCCTCTTGTATTATATCTATGTATATCTTCATTTCTAGTTATTCCAGATCGAGTATCAGACATTTCTTTCTTCTTTTGAATGAAACATTCGTATACGAAGCATGAAGCTAGTGTTGAAATTTTGAATCGTTTGAATCATGGTTTGCAATGTTCTGTATAACTTACTCCTGCCATTATCCTTAGAACTTCTTTTTGAATAATGAACATTTTTGTAGTATGAGTTGATGCACCCCGTACTATCAAGGCATATGTCATTACTGAATGAAATATTGAGAAATAAGAAACTCTGAGATATTCATCAGTCAGTTCACCCTTCAGCTGTTTCAATATATAGGTTGATGTTGCTAGACGCTTACATAATTGATCAATGTGAAGCCAATATAAAGGTTGATGTTGCTAGAAATCTTGAATCATTTGTTCAGAATTGAACATTTTGTCATCTCCTTTTCGATGAAGTGAATGATTATTGAGAGTACAATGCTCGGTATAATGTCAAAAATAAGTTTTTTACCCATATTCAAACTGATTGTGCAATATAAATGGAGACTATGGAGAGTAATTATTGTACCTTGGAACCATCCACGCCAGGATCATACAGATTCGTTGTCAAGTTGGTTTCAAGAAACAACAGGAAATTGATGAAAATTTCGTCAGAGATACTGCACTCCAGATAACCCGATTTTTCTTCTTCTATTAGTAAGACTCGCTACGGTTTGTGAACTAAATACCTCTCAAACTTCCTCTTCTCTTAATTTCGTTAATAGCTGACAAAACGATTGCATTGTCGGGAGAAAAAAACGGTGGTGTTTTTTCTGGGTACGGCCGTTACCATCGAGACTATATCACGTGGGTAACGGTACGGCACGCTCTCGACACGTGGTTAGTGAAGATGCGGTCTCGGGCTTTTTGTGATTGATCATGTTCAATTTTAAAGTTGTTTGATAGTTTGACTAATGAAGGTGTAAACGATTGTAAAAAATCCAAGCACTGGAAACGCAATATTTGAGGCTGTCGAGCGTTCTTGAATATCTACAGGATGATACACTTTTGAGGTCGCGCAAACTTTGAAACCCTGGTATATCGGAAACGGAACTCCCACGCATATACAGCGTATCTCACTTCTAATGGAAACACCCCTGTATCTTACGTAGTCATTGGGAAATTTGCTGGAGCGAAAGATATACCAAAAATGTACTCTATGACCAAGTGGGGTCATCTTCAGTGATATACACTGCTCGCCAACAGCCATGGAACCACCCCAATTTCCGGAAAATGATATTAGGAGGCAAAATAGGTTGAAAATCACTTCGGATTCGGAATCAGGACGCCCAATTTACTAACTATTCCTTTCTGGAAAAAATTTCAGCTCTGAAAATTTCATTTTTGTCTCACTTTTCATGGAAACACCCCCGTATCTTACGTAATTATCGAGTTAGGATTGTTAAATTTACAGGAGCAAGAAATATTCCAAAGATACAGTCAATTACCAATTGAAATTACCATCAATCTTATACACTGCTCGCTAGCAGCCATGGAACCACCTACATGTCCGGGAAATCATATTAGCAGACAAGATAGGTTGGAGATTACTTCGGATTCGAGAACAGAAAGCAGAACGTCTAATTCACCAACTACTCATACTCCTTCTGAAAAAATTTCAGTTCTCAAATAATAAATTCCGTCTCACTTTTCATGAAAGCACCCCAGCATCTTACGTAATTATTGATGTAGGAATCTAAAATTCTTTGGATGAAGACAGAGACCAATGACCAAGTAGGATTATCTTCAATGATACACTGCTCGCCAACAGCCACAGAACCACCGACATTCACTGACTCACCCACCCTGTATAACCAACTCCAGGACCTGAAATTCCGTGGTATTTGTTAGAGCTTAGAGCTGTTGAGGTAATATCACTTTCCAATGACAATTTCACGGAACACGTACGATAACACGACAAATCAATCACACAACCTCCCCCCTCTCCCCAGCTACCCTTCCCCCCATTCCCAACATATTCATCAATCGGTCGGCATTGTCCTGGAACAGCCACAGCCACTAAGTACTCCATTATTCGCCCAATCACATGCATGGGGATGATTAATTGGATAGAATTTCTGGAAAGCGATATACCACCTGCCACTATATACCTATAGTGCAAACCCATTCAGCACGTGTCGATGACTAGTAGTAGCAAATTGAATATTCATCAGGAAATGGGATATTTGTCAGCCACTATATTGTATATTGTCCCGTGAATCGCGGGTACTGGTGATTCCCCCCCCCCTGAACTAAGGACTTGCCAACCCCCTCCCGATTTGACAGAAATGCGAGCTTGGTATCCTAAACATGATGGTAAATACCCATTTCTAACTAGAAAATATGGGGTCTTACTTTGAAGATATAACAAAAAGTTCTGAACCGATCAAAAAAATTACCTGCCAGATGGAAAATTACTAAAAGGGTCATAGTAGACTTATGTGAAGTTGGCACCGACTTTTTTGAAGAACTGAATTTTTTTCGGAGTTCTGGGTAGATATGATAGAGTTCTGGAGTTCCTGACAAAAAATTTCAATAGTTCGGTTAATTGTAGAAAATAACCGAAAAACAAAATTGTGGTTGCTAACTTCACGCGGCGCCGCTTTTTTCACAGAAAAGAGTTCTGATGAGAAATTTCGACGTATTTGAAAGAGTTCTGGAGTTCCTGATATATTTCAACGATAGTTTCGGCGAAATAACAAAGTTATTCCTATTTTTAATAGGGGCATTCATATACGCTCATGTAGCATCCACCACTTTCTAAAGTTCGGATCGGAGTTCTGGGTAGCACCAGTCGAGTTCTACATAATATCTTGATAAATGTTTTCTCTAAAATCAAAATTTCAGTTTGTATAAGCGGAAAAGAGGACCAATTGAAAAAAAAATGTTTTGTGAACGATTTGGGAAGGAGAGACAATATAGGAGTTCTGATCTGAGTTCTGATGGGTAGCACCAGTCGAGTTCTACATAATATGTAGATAGTTAGCACCCACAATTTTGTTCTTCGGTTATTTTCTATAATTGACCAGAACTATTGAAATTTTTTGTCAGGAACTCCAGAACTCTATCGTATCTACCCAGAACTACGATAAAAATTCAGAAGGAATGGAAATTCGGTAGAATGAAGGTGAGTTCGGGAAGGAAGAAAAAACACTTGCGAGATAACTTGAGACTTGAGAGGGTCATAAGTGGTGAAAACTCCATAAAAATTGTGAAGAAATATATTTTGTTAGGAGAAAAAGAGATTTCAGGGAATTATACAAAAAAAATTGAATCCAGTGAAGCAATTATCTGTAGGAAGAAATTCTACTTGCTATAGGCTTCCAAGGGAGACAGAGGTGGTTGAAAGTCTGAAAAATACTTAATGAATATTATTCTGTAGAAGAAAACGAAATGTCAGTTTGAGAATAATATGAAAGAATGAGAATTCAATGTAGGAATCATTCACCAGTAGGAATATTATACTTGAAAGCCTTCTAAGAGGGTCGGTCATAAGTGGTAAAAATAATGAAAAATCAATTTTTCGTTAGATGAAAACAACATGAGAGTTTACAAATGATACAGAAATATCATAATTCAATATTGGAATTGCCTACCAGGAAGAATATTACTTAAAAGCTGTTTAGAGAAGCATATGGATGGTGGAAATTGCTTAAAATTGAGAAAACAATATTTTTGAAAGAAAAAGAGGTGACAGTTGCGAGCCCATTGAAGGGGTAGGGGGGAATATAGATGGTGAAACCTCTATA